GCTGAGAAAGATTCTGCGGGCAGCCCTGGAGAAGGGGGACCACTGGCCACAGGGGTCTTTCCCGCAGGGTTATGGGAGCTCCTGGCCCCAGAACTCCCAGAGACCTCTTTTTTAAAACAAACAAACAAACAAACAAACATTTTATTGATTTTTTACAGAGAGGAAGGGAGAGGGATAGAGAGTCAGAAACATCGATGAGCGAGAAACATCAATCAGCTGCCTCCTGCACGCCCCCTACTGGGGATGTGCCCACAACCCAGGTACATGCCCTTGACCGGAATCAACGTGGGATCCTTGAGTCCGCAGGCCGACGCTCTATCCACTGAGCCAAACCGGTTAAGGCCCCAGAGACCTCTTTAATCCTCGGGGCTCTGAGCTGGTGCTGGTCAGAGCTCAGGGTGGAAGCAGGGGCTGAAGCAGGGAGCGAGCACAGCCCTTGGCGTTTGCACACCGGCTCTGTGCAGTGGGCAGGGCGGGACGACAATCCCTGTTTTCTGGGGGGACAGGGGGTGGGACCCAGAAGTGACAGGCCCGAGGCCACACCGCTGGTTAGTAGCAGCCGCTACAACTGCCTGGCGCCAGGCCCGTGTTCTTTCTCTTCCCTGCACCGGGGCTCCAAACCAGGAGTCGGTGAGGACCTGGTGTTTGGGAGGGCTTTTCCCAGTGGGTGGGTGGTCTGGGGCGGCTCCAACGGAGGTGCTCCCTCCCCCGACAGGGATGGCTGCATCAGCCGGGAGGAGATGATCTCCTACTTCCTCCGCTCCAGCTCCGTGCTGGGCGGCCGCATGGGCTTCGTGCACAACTTCCAAGAGAGCAACTCCCTGCGCCCCGTTGCCTGCCGCCACTGCAAGGCCCTGGTGAGCCCCCGCCCAAGCCACACCCTCCAGCTCGCCATCACCCACCCACGCCCCGCCCGGTCCTCCCTTCTGGCCCCGCCCCTGCCAGAGCCCTCTCAGCTCTCAGCCCAGGCAGCCAGCCTTCTTCGTGTCCCCTGCCTCTCCTCTTGCTATTCTGCATCTAACCCTTAAGGGCCCAGGGAGGCTCAGGCCCAGGCCCTGCCCTTGAGAAGGAAGTAGAGTCATCACCAAATACCTCTCCCCAGCACGGCCCTTCTCCTCTGTTTCAGATCCTGGGCATCTACAAGCAGGGCCTCAAATGCCGAGGTGAGATGGCATGGCGGGGCTACTGGGCTGCTTTTTGGGGGAAGAGTTACTCTCTGCCTGGGGACTCTTATTTTGGTGGGGCAACTGGAACGGAGTGAAGTCCCTTGGAGCCAGGGACTTCACATTATATGTGAAGGGTTTTTGGAGAGGGCAGAGAATGGCAAGTAGGGTCAAGAGAGCGCGTTGGAAGGAGACTTTTGTTTTGGTGGGGCAGCTGCTCAGGAGCAAAGGAACCTGGGGAGAGGTGCAGGCCTAGAGGAAGAAGGGAGGGAGGGTGTTCTGACCAATGGCCCCGGCTGGGCAACCCATCTGCCTCCCCCAGCCTGTGGTGTGAACTGTCACAAGCAGTGCAAGGACCGCCTGTCAGTGGAATGCCGGCGCAGGGCGCAGAGCATGAGTCTGGAGGGGTGTGCCTCCTCCCCCTCCCCCACACACACCCACCATCGCACCTTCAGCTTCTCCCTGCCCCGCCCGGGCCGGCGCGGCTCCCGGCCTCCAGGTAAGACACGGTCTCCTTCCGTATCGGGCCGGTGGAGGGAGGAAGGCAGGGCCATTGTGGCCAAGTCTTAATTCACCCAGGATGGAAACCATTTCAGAGTTTGTATAATTATCTTATTTTGGTAGGGTGATGGAGAGGGCTAGTCTGGTAAGGGTGCCAGAAGGGAGCCAAGGAACCCTTGACCCTCTGAGGCTGAGGAGGAGAGAGACTTCAATATATAAAGAAGAGTAAAAGTGAAAGAGGCTTCAAGATCCCAATCACACTCTTATTTTGTTAGGGGGATTGACAATGGGTTGGAGAGGGAGTTATGTGAGCCATTTACCTGCATTTCCTTGTTTGGCTGCTCGGGACGCATTTTGAGAATTCGAAGCCCCATACCCTGAAAATCACCTGCAGCTCTCAGGGGGGAGGGGGTCCCTGGTGGCTTTAGGTCAGTTTGCTGAATGATAATTACTCAAAGGATTATTTTGCCGAGAGCAGTCTGAACAACTGTGTTAAACTGGGGTCTAAGGCCGTTGACCACCGCCTTTCGGATCCGCATAAGTCCTCAAACATAGAAAAGATAAAACCATTTCCATGGAACCCTCCAGAAGTGCTGGTGTCTAGAATGTGCAACACACAAAGTTGGCATTTAAGCAAACTGCACTGACAGATCTGCGGCTGCGAAAAAGTGCGGCGAAGTGAAAACTTAGAAGAGCCTCAAAAATTGGGCCGTTTGGTCATTCAGTGAATTGGTTTTGGGTGGATGGGTCTGCTTCCGGGATGGGGCTGGGTGCCTCCTGTGAGTGGGGGAAGGGCTGCTGAAGGCACTGGGACCCAGGAGTAGATCCTGTGATGAACACTCCACCCCCCACCCCTTTGCAGAGATCCGAGAAGAGGAGGTGCAGACGGTGGAGGACGGAGTGTTTGACATCCACTTGTAATGATGGTGAGTCCTCCCACAGCTTTGGCCAGAGCCTCCACACTGGGGGCCGGGGGTGGGGGGTGGGGTCAGGGATAGGGCGCTCTGTCCGATGGCCTGGGCCAGGGGGACCCCTACTTTTGGGGGAAGGCTCTTCCTCACCACCCCTGTTTTTCTCTTCCCAGCTGTGACTGGATCCAGCACTCATGTCTGCCTTGGAGCAAAGACCTGGAGCAGAGCAGGGGGCCGGGTGCTGGGGCAGCAGGCTGGGGCTGGGGGGTGGGGCATGAGGGTGGCATGTGGCTGAGGGCAGGGCCGGGGCTGGTGTCCCTAAGGTTGTACAGACTCTTGTGAATATTTGTATTTTCCAGGAATAAAAAGGCCCGTGTCATGAACCCATCAGAGCCAGGACTCCTGGAGGGGGGCGGGACTAGAATGTGGGAGTGGTCACTCTGTAGCCAGAGAATCTTGGGAGATCTGAGGTCTCATGTGTCTGGAATCTTGGGGGGACTAGAATCCTGGGGGGCAGAACCTTAGGACCAGAAAACCTTGGAATGTAAGCATCTTGGAGAGGCTCTGAAATCTCGAGGAGTCCAGAATCTCAGGAGCCTAAAACTTGAAACTAGCGCTTCTTTGTACCCAGACTTGCTGGGCCAGTGGTTTGGGGTGACCATAGCCTTCAGCCCACAGTCCAAATTCCCTTGCTTGACAGGTGGCCTTTCAGCTCCTGTTTGAATTCTTCCAGCCATGGGGAGCTCACTGCAGAGAATCCTGGGAGGGGAAGGGCTGCCCTGAGCGTCAGCTAGAGGGGGTGGTGGTGGGGCCTGGGCAGCTTTCCTGCCTGCGGGAAGGGGAGCTGCACTTGGGCTTGCAGCCTGCAGGCCTGGTGCTGCTGCCGGCCGGCCGGAAGGACAGTGACTTCCAGAGGAAATGCATATTGATCCTGCTCTCAGCCGCCTGTGGCCTCTCCCAACCCAGCTCCTCCCTCCTGAGGTTGCAGCACAGAGGTTTTGGGGGGTCAGTGCTACCCGAGGAAGGCCAAGGCCGGTTCTAAGGCTGGGCTAGGTCAGGAGGGTGAACGGGGGTCTTCTAAAGGGTTTGGAACTGGGCCAGGCTGCCCCTGGGGTCAGGATTGTCCAGACAGCAGCCCTGGGAGTGGGCGCTACTTTCCAACCCCCACAAGCTGGGTGTGCCCTACAGCGGCTGTGGGGAGTCCTGGGGGTGGAGGCCTAAGCACCTGGCTCCCACCTGCAAAGCTCAATGTCTGTGGACCTGGCGGTGGCCTCAGCCCCCTCCCCGGGGTTCCCTGACCCCATGCCCGTCTTCCCCTTTGAGACCCACTCCCCCTGGCCTACTCCTCAGTGGGGGTCTCCTTCTCCCACCCTGTTACTTTTCAGCCCCATGTGGGCCCCCAAGCCTTGTCCTCCACTGGGTCCCCCGCTCTGTCCCTCCTTCCATCCTCAGCCCCCTCCCGCCCTTCCCCCTCTGAAGCTCTAATATCCGTTTCACGATTTGGGGGCTGAGTTGCTATAACAACAGACGGTGATTGTGTTGTGAAGAGCAGCTCTCTCCAGAGCTGCCCGCCTCCCGCGCTGCCTCCATCCCTGCAGCCTGTGGCCTCCCCTCCCCACCGCCCCCAGTCCCAGCCTGGCCTCTTCCCAGGGTGTGTGTGTGTGTGTGTGTGTGTGCATAAATGTGCCCAGGGCCGACCCGCCCGGGAATGGGAATGTGCCGTGGGACTGTCTGTTCATGGTTGTATGTGTGAATCCGGTGTATGCGCTTCACATTTCGTGTGTGCATGTGTGTGCACAGACACGCACGCTGCGTTTGCTGCATTTCCCCTTCACCTTGTGTCCCCCCTGGACTTCCCGCCAGAGAAGGGCCACATTGGGTGGGGGCCAATTGGGGAGGGTGTCTTGAAGTGGTGGGTCCCAACTGCATTAGGTAGTCTGAACTGTGGGCCTTGGGAGAGACATCCTTGTAGCTGGGGGGAGGGGCAGGGAGGTGCAGCAGCTGTCAGGTGACCTTTCCTGCCCTTGACAGGCAAAGGTGGCCCAGGGAGCCGGGGAGGGGGACAGGAGACAGATGCTCACTCTTACGTTCTTTCCTGGCCCTGTCCTCCTGACACCCTTCCCACACCATCTCTAAGAGTCTGAGTGACATTCTGTGAATCACTGCACCTGTCTGTCTGTCCATGTATGCCACGGTGCCTGCCTGGATGAACCTGCATGTGAGTGTGTGTGTGTGTGTGTGTGTGTCGCGTGCACTGCAGGAGGAGGAGGGACAGGGGGATGGGTGGGGCAGTGGGCTGTGGGGTCAGGCATTTCACATCCACAGGCCCTGACTCAGCACTTCCCGTTCTCTGGCTCCTTTAGTGGCCTGGTGGGGCCAGCCTGAGGGTCTCCAAGGTCAGAATGGGCCCTGGCTCTGGGATCTGGCTCAGGGATCTCTTGTCCTGACCCCTAGGAAACACCCCCTGCAGCCTGGGTTACCCCCCACAGCCTGGGTTACCCCCCTGTTACCCCATTACAGGCTGGGGAGGAGACCTCTGGTGGGTGGGTGTCCCCACTCATCTACTCAATAACTGACTCCTCTGTGCCAAGTACCTCAGGGGGAGGATGACCCATGGCAGGCCCTCTGTGTGCACCTGTTCCCTGGGCCATGTACATGCCTGAGTGTGTAGGCACCGGTGTGCACACGGTTGTGTGTGTTCTTCAGCAGCACGTGCGTCCTGTGGGTGTCCTACCCTGTGGGGCATTTCTGCAGCTGTCCCTTGTGCTGCTTGGGAGTGGCTGTGTGCACATGGGTAGGTGTGCATGGCTGTGCGTGTGCACTGCATGCCCATGCATGCAGTAGTGGTTGAATGTGAGTGTTTTTTCCATGTTCCTCTGGGTAAGGAAGCACCAACTACCACTAGCTGTGCAGATCACAGACCCTGCAACAGAAATCAGGATCCTGGAGGCACTGGCAGAATGGTCTGGTACACACACACACACACACACACACACTGCTTCATTCAAAAACCCACTGTCCAACTCTGTGGTGCACAAAGGTGCTAGGTGCCCCTTTCATTGGCTGAGTGAGTGAAGGGGTGGCCCATTCCTCCCATACTAACACACACACACTAACACACACATACTAACACACACACTAACACACACACACTAACACACACACACTAACACACACACACTAACACACACATAATAACACACACAACTAACACACACTAACACACACACACACGCTAACACACACACTAACACACACACTCACACACACACTAACACACACACTAACACACACACTAACACACACTAACACACACACTAACACACACACTAACACACACACACACTAACACACACACTAACACACACACACTAACACACACACACTAACACACACACACTAACACACACATACTAACACACACATGCATAGTGAGGCGATGCCCTCACAGGGGAGAACTTCATCCCAGCACCACCCTCACTCTGAGGCTCATGGTTGGGAGAACAGAAAAGGGGGCGGCTGTCACTTTCCCTGCAGGGCAATAGGCAGTCGCGTCCCTGCCCTTAAGCCCACTCTTACCCGAGTCCAGCGTGGCAGGCAGGACTGGGGATCTGGCTGCAAACTCTGGGATTCCCATGAGGCAGGGCTGGGAAACCCCAAGCCCCTAGGTCTACCCCGCCCCCGCTCGGCCTTTCCCACTCTCACCGCCTCTGTCCTTATCCCAGCAAAGACACTGCCTCCTCAGTTCCAGGGCAGCCTGGGGCCCTCGGCGGTGGGAGGTGGAGGCCAGGCAAGAGGCTGGAAAACGCCCCCGGCAGCCGCAGGCAGGGTCCCCTTTCCCTAGGCTCCTCGTTGGTACGGGCCCGCCCCTGGGCATAGCCAGCAGAGGGCGCCGCGGCCCGGGTCCCACACCGGTTCCGCTCTCTTGGTGCCCCAAGTGGGGGCTCGGGTCCCACACCGGT